AAAGTTCAACACAGTTGTTTTAACACACTCATCTGAGGTCCAGCCGCAATCGATAAGTAAAATAACGAGATTCTGATAAGATTCCTCACAGCGCTCCGATTGGCCCTTTTTTTTTTAACATTACCATCAGGTGATATGTGTAATCAGTTAATCACACGCGGGGCTCAGCGGAGGCACAGACGGTGACGTAATGTCATTTTCCATCGGTTGGTTGTTTTGCCTTTAAATGAAGCTGAACTCCAGGGCATGAATGTCACTTACATGCATTTGAAAACTTTTCTGCAGGAGGATTTCCTCTCGCTTGATGTAGGAAAAGAAACCTTAGATTATTATTTCAGTTACGAGGGAGTATTTATATTGCTCTAATGCCAGTAGTGGTTCTTAGATCTAGCATCCCAATGATGGTACCAAGAAAGACAATATGGTGGACAGCAATGCACGCCACATAATCGTTTTCTTCCATTCTTATTTGCTAAATATTCATTATGACATTACTTACTTGCTTTACATGCTCAGTGACACTGAAGGGGAGCAGGAAAACCTTACAGCCGATGCAGAGGCAACCCAAAACCCACATAACATGAGCTGCCTTTGTAAAGCTTCCTGTGTTGTCTGAGAAGGGTGCCAGTCGTTTTGAGGCTGCACTTTGTGTTTTTTCGCAATGAATCGTGTCATATTGTGCCAGAACTACGTGTTCTTTTGCAGTCACACACATGTAACTCCTGACCAGCAGCTGCGATGAGGTGGTGTGTGTTCCCGGGGAGATGTGGCACCAGTAGCAGAATGATACTGGGAGACAGAGGGCTCTCAGAGGGCTCTGATTGCTTTGCATTCACACACACACACACACACACACACACACACACACACACACAGTCATTCCTCTTGACGAGTTTCCAGGAGTACGTTGCTAACAAATCATTGTTCGCTTCTCGGCACTGCAGGAGCGGGACGGACGATTAGAGCGAACGCAACAAAGTGAGAACAATAAGGCTAAGAGAAACAACCGAAAACATCAAAAGTGCTGCTGAATGAAAGATGAGAGACGGAATAGAAAAGACAATGCAGGGTTTCAGAGCAAAGGGGTTGCAGATGGGAGAGGAGAAGGAAGGCAGAGTGGGATAAGAAACCCACATGGCACTCTGACTGAGAAGGGACAAAAATAAACTCATATCGAACAAACACACGGCTCCCACTGTGGCCTTGATGTGAAATTCCATGACTTTCCTTAACAGAGTGGAGGTACAGCTGTGCACTTTGAATTTGTTAAAACGTTTATGGCTTGTTAGGCTGATACTTAGCTCACAATGGTTTATAGAGAGATAACCGGCCTGTTTTACTATACAGCTGAAAACCTGTTGGTCGGGCTGTCACCACTTTGCTTCAGACTGAAAAATCTCAACAGCTGTTGGATGGGTTGCAATGATATTTTGCATGGATATCTATGGTCCACTGAGGATGCACCACTAGCATGTGAATTATATCGTTCATTCATTGAAATATCTCAGCGTTAGCTACATGGATTGGCACAAAATGTTAACCCCTAACCCGAGCACCATTTTACTGCAGCAGGGTCTGACAGTCTGCCCAACGCAGTCCTGGTTCTCCCGTGCCTCCCTTCCCTTCAGCTGGCCCAGCAATACGGCCTGGTCCTCCAGCAGTGTGGTGACGCTGTTGGGTCCCAGCGGGGACCGGAGGAGCAGAGAGGCGAAGCTCAATTCCTGGCCGGAAGAGGAGCCGCTGAATTCTACAGAATCTTTAATATTCAGGAAATTCAGCGACCACTGGAAACCCTGCAGTGATACTGAACACGGTCAAACAGTGAGACATCGACTCTCCAAACACAACAGCATGAGAGAGATGGTGTCCTTCAACGCTCCAACAGCGAGCAGCCAGGCTGCACACCGGCCTGTCAGAGAGACACCCAACCATGCCTCCCCCCTGAGCCTCATCCTGGGAAACCGGTGTGTCCGTCCATGTGTGTGTGTGTGTGTGTTTTCATTCGATTGTTAATCCTGCACCGCTCTCCCCTCCCAGGCCCGACTGACTGGCGTGTCTACCGTGCGTTTGCCTCCTGGCCTGTTGCACGGTAATGCTGAAAGCTAATCGCTGATGGTTTTGCTGGTGGAAAAAATGAATACAAACAACCCGAGCACTAATGTGTTTAACTTGATTGAGATTAACGTCCCTTTAACTCACTCTTCACACGTGATGAAGAGGCGGTCCGGCAGCCGCTGCACCATGAATAACAATGCATGAATGAGTGAAACTGAGCGGTGGAGGAGGAACTGTCAAACAGATTTTTCATTTAGTTTTGGTATATTTATGGGTGAAATGTTATTGCATTAAAATGGTAGAAACGCTCTCAAACAGCACAATTCTCTATTAAAAAGATATTCCAGGTTTCACAACTTAATTTGTAATAGCTAGAGAGAAAATGATCATTTGCTGTTGTGATAAGCTCGTCTTGCTATTCTGTTTTGCTTTATTCTTCTCCAGCTCAATATCCTAAAAGGAGTCCCACCAGACTGTTCTCTACAGCCAGCCAAGCACATGTAATTACTTCTTTATTAAACCGGAGAAGAAGGGAGAGTTATTTCTGGCATCAAGGGTCGAGAGGTGACCGGCCGTCCGAGCTTTATCAAGGGTTGGATGAACGTGCAACTCTCCTGGATGAATAATCAGTACAAACAATGAACAGCACAAAAACAAATCTGGTTCTTTGATAAAAAAATTTTAAAAAGTTAGGGTTAGGGTTAGTATGTGTGTGTGTGCAGACGGTAACCTGGCATGTGTGGGAGTCTCCGACACATGCGAGTGTGTGTGTGTGTGTTGTAGTAATGCGAGCCGTGCAGGAGTGAACCTCGCCCTTTTCCTTATTTTCAACTGGTGACCTCAAAAAAAGTCCCTTTAAGTCTGGAGGTTTCATGCTAAGTAAGAGGTAGGTGTGTGTGTGTGTGTGTGTGTGTGTGTGTGTGTAGGGAAAAAAATGTATGAAAACTAACTCTTTACTTCTTCTCAAGCTCTGAACCATCTCTCTTTCCACTGTGGTTCCACAATTAAATGTTAAAGTGAAATTAAAATGAATTTTTGCCAGGAAATCAGTTTGTTTGGTGTTTTCCTTTTACTTGTGTACTTACTTACAAACTGTGACTTTGTGTATTTGGTGTTCTTTATATTTCCTGGTACGCAATTACCCGGATTACATACAAATTGATTTTGTAGGATACCCATGAATTATAGTGTACTATAGTGTAATTATAGTATACTTTTCAAATAGCTACGTTATATGACAATAGGCTGCGTCTGTGTTCTTGTTGTAAAAGAGAAAATTGTCTTGTAGCAACGTTCGTAGACTAAACAGGATGACGTGGTCCAGTTGGTAGCACGATCACAGTTGACAGCGTGTCACTAAACATCTGAAGCTAAGATACAAAAAAAAAAAGTATCAGTATAGTTATACATCTAATATGTCCCCAAATAGTGAGGACATTTCTAATTTCAGTTCTCTCATTATCGACTAATCTGAGGATTATGTTCTCAATTAATCAAGACATTTTGGCACATAATTGTGAAAAATGTAATGAATACAAAATCACAGAACTCAAACCGTTGTCTCTGCCTGAGCCCCAAACCCAAAGATGTTCAGTTACGATCATATAAAGAATATCCTCACGTTTCTTACTGCTGGAACCAGAGAAAATGCGTTTGTTTATGCTTAAAAATGACTGAAACGATTACTCATTCCTCAAAACTGTTGCGGATTACTTGACTAATCTTACTGCAACTAAAACTCTGACAAAGAATCTAACTGTCAGTGCCTGCCAGTTATTAATAATCTGACATATTTCTGGGGATTCTGAGAGGTATTGATACTCAGTGCCGGCTGTCACAGCTGATAGCGCCTGTCACTGACATCACTCCACTCATCCGTCCATCCTTTCATCCACTTCCTCCCCAAGCAGCAGTCAAAGGGACTCTCTGTTCAGCTGGGTCTTCCAGATGGGGCTGGCCGGGCCAACGATACAGTACTGACGAGGGGGGGCTGGCAAAAATCACCACCTGCCCCGTGACTTCACCACTGACATGAAATATGGAACGCGATATTAGAAGAAATCCTCCTCCTGCCTGATTTCTGACCGCGGGACACATAACCCGAGGTGGACCGGATACGTTTAGACATTAAAAGGTAACGATCCCATAACACGATCCTCACTTCCTCACCCGTGGGGTTCGGTGACCTGCAACCTGAGCACAGGTGAGGGTGGAAAAGCTACGATGTCAACCGCGACATCGGCAAAGGTCGGTAGGTGAGGCGTCTTTCCAGCAGTGGTGGAAAGTAACTAAGTATATTCACCCAAGAATATTTTAAATGACTTTTACTCAGGATCTGAGTAATTCTTCCACCACTGGTTCCCAGGCTAGACTCTCTTATGTTTTAAATAGCACACCCTGAAGAAGTTCATTCAGTGTGAGGTGCATTTGTGCATATTCCCATAGCTTTGTTCCTGTTGAGACTGTATTTAATCCTTAAAGCTCATTCTAATAAGGGGGGGGTAATCCTTAAGGAGCTTTTAAGTGCATGTTTTATGAATCTCCATTGAGCAGCAGAAGCATTGTAGTGTCACAGAAAAAACAAAGGGTCAGAAGCCAAAAGTTGTGCTTCACCTTGCTCTGCTGTGCGATCACTTGAGAATGTGGCATGGCTGCTTTCAAAGCTGCAGCCAAATGACGAAGAAGGAGATTGTGGAATTTGAAAATTGCGCACGTGACGCGCGTAAAAGGACGCCACATAAGGGATTATTGCAGACGTGACAAGATCCACTGCTGTCATTTAAGAGATGTATCACTTGTTGAATCATTTTACAACGTTGCACAAGAATATTTTGTCTCCTGAGAGGTGTTATTTTACACCAATGTTTGGCCATCTTGAACCAAAGGGATCCAGTTGTGTTTCCATTCATGCCCCGGGTAAAAAGGGACAGCTGGGGGGTTCTTACCTTAATGATGCTGCTCCGGCGAGGTGCTGCCTTCACCGAATCCAGGAGGATGGCATCGGTGTCCTGGCCGCCACCGGGGAGGATGACGCCGCTCCGCCGGCCGCGGGACGCTCTCGGCGGGATGAAGTCCGGCGCTCCGTCGCCGCACAACCCGTCTCCATTCCCATCACGCTCAGACATTACGATGAGAAGCGGAGGACTCGATTAAGAAACACCGGGAGACGGAAATTAATGAAGTCGTCGGATCTGACCCGAATAAAGTTTGACTCTGCTGCGCGTGGATGCCATTTAAAGCAGAAAGGTTTGTTTTTCTCTAAAGCATCCGCCGCTCAGCAGCAGCTCGGACAGACCGAAGGAAACTAATCGCCTCAATTTCATTAATTATGAACAGATTCTCATAGTCACGGAGCACCGAGCCGTGCTGACTTCAGGCTGTTGGTGTGAGCTGATCTCCACGGTCCATTCTCCGCTCCACTCAATGACTCGCCGCTGAAATCAGAGCATCACGCGCAGGTTTACAGTAGACTTGGATGAAAAACTGGACTTGTGCGCTCCCCGGATGCGCGCAACAAGTCTTCACCGTGCCCCGTCTTGCTTGCTGTCCTCGAGGCGGTGAAGCCACAGCTTGTGCATAAAAAACGCGTAAACCTTCAGTGCGTGAAGAGAAACGAGTAATGCTGCTGATGGGGATAACAGAAGTGTTTCAAAACAATCCAGCGTTGGCTACAAGGCTATACCCGAAACCCTGCTCCTCTTCTCCCCCAAAACACATCGATGCCAAAGTGCAAGAAAAAAAGAGCGAACTTGCGCTGCGGTTTGGCGTCACGCGGAGAGAAGATCCGTTCGTCTGTCAGCGTGGAGCGCGTTGCCCTGACTGAACGCGGCTCCTGTGGTCGTCTTGGGTTGTACTCAAACAGCAACAACAGGCGACTTTTGACGAGAATAGGGAAAACAATTGACAGTCGCACCGCCTCTAAACCCGCCACCCCTCCCTTCATCCTTCGAACCCAGCTCCTCCCACATGCCGCCCAAAATCTTGACAGACGCGCGGGGTGGCCAATGCGCTCCTCTGCTGGGACGTTTGGAAGCAGTCGGAGGCGCTGATTGGTGGAGTGTCCAGTCTAAAGGGTCTGAGAGAGGCTCCTTATCACTCGTAAAGACAATGGAGCAGACACCCGGAGCACTGGAGAGGGCTGCAGGTACAGAAGAAACCCCAGGGAACATGAGCACTAAATGGATTTTGTTTTTAGAATTATTGTTTTAAAAAAGGATGAGAAAATACTTTATAGTCCACCTCAGTTAAAGTTTGTCTTTGGCTTCTCCCAAAGTACAGAGCAAAGGTGCACACAGTGCACATGACACAGCACACCATTAAAAAACAGACAAATATAATAATGCAAACGGTCGAGTAGCAGACAGATAATCAACCGGCAACTGTTTTTATAATCAGTGAAGTTTGTCTTCCAGCAAAAAGGCCAAACATGTTGGTGGTTAAAGCTTCTCGAATGTTAAGATTTGTTGCTTTTCATTGTCTTACATCATTACAAACTTAAAATTTTTATACTGTTGTCTGTCGTCACCTTGGACTTGAAAATGTCCCCTCTGAAAATGTTTTCTGATGTTTTATCGATTATAATCTGCGGTTGAATCAATAATGGAAATAATGGTAAGTTGCAGACATAATATGAAGCAAAAACAGCCAAAGTCAAATCTTCTAAAAAAAAAAAAAGCCAAGAAAAGTCACACTGTCTCATTACTGCTGGTGTATTTTATATACATTATATAAGACTGGAAAACCTAACAAAAGCACACACATCAATATCCATGTTATGAGGTGAAGAAGGCATTTTTTCTTATTGTGTAATCTTTAAAAGGTGACACTGTCATGAGATCTTTAAGGAGTAACGTAACTCCAGCCTGATAAGCAGTGTTTAAAGCTACCACAAGGGACTTTCCTTGTGTGAGGATTTTGGCAGTCCCTGTGGACGAAAGTGGTAGTGTTTAAGAGCACCAGACTCCCTTTAAAAAACCTCAAATTTTAATTCAACAATTTACCCCACTCAGTCCTGGTTCTGTCTCTCCCGTACCCTCCCTTCCCTCCAGCAGGCGCAGCAATACGTCCTGGGTCTCCAGCAGCGTGGTGTCGGTGTTGCCTCCCAGCGAGGACCTGAGGAGCATCAAGGAGCAGCTCTGCTCCTGTCCGGAGGAGGAGACGCTGCTGCCGGCTTCAGGATGAAGGTGGCAGCAAAGCAGGGACTGGGTCTGTCCAGGGCGGACTGGCCCTGCTGGAGTCTGAACTGATGAAGTTTCTGGTGAACCTGAACCCCGGAGGCACCGATGACGAGCATTTAGAACAACTAAAAATAACCAATCGTCCTGCTGATGGTCTCGTTTACTGAAATTGCGAATGTTTCACAACCAGCGAAAAGTTCCGAACAGTAACTTTAACTGTACTCTCCAGCCTTAGTTCAGGTAGTTTTCAGCCTATTGCACCTGTAACCACACCCAGTAGTGATGTCACTGGGTCCTGGGGCACACCTGTACATCACTGCAGCAACGTGAGAAGTTAAACCACTGGAGGTCCACCAAAGACAAGATTTTCAGGGCTCCTTCTCTGCGCAGAGCATCAAATACACAAAGCCAAACTTCTTCGTCGTGAGGCTGTCTGGTGAATTTAGACGTCTGAGGTGCACACCTGACCTCTGACCTCTTCTTATTGTCCAGTTGGTGTTGGTTCAGAGTGACAGGCAGACCGGTAAAGATTGGTCTGCGATGTAGAGCTATAATAAAAGTGTGATAAATTATTCATCTCGGGCCTCTTCCAGTGAGGTCGGAGGTCGGGGTCATGGAGGCAGCAGATCCCCCCTGAGGCTGGCAGGATGTTAGTGTCTTGCTCAGGGACACATCAGCAGGCCGAACTGCTGCACGGACAGACACTCCCCAGACACCTCCCCAGACCTCCCCAGACACTACAGTCGCTGGGGAGGGTTGGAAAGATGGTGGAGAAGCTCAGCTATTGGTAAAATGTATAAATATACCCAAATACATGACTTTAGAAGGATTAAAATGGGTGCATGGCTGAGTGAAAGTACTAATACCTCACTCAATCTCATGGGAAGGCGGATGAATACCACAACATTTACAACATTTACGTGTGTCATTATTATGCATTTTGTGTCAATTTACGCCACTTTTTTACTGTAAAATGGTCATGGTTAATATTTAGGCAGATAAACCACTTAGTTAGGTTTAGAAAGAACATTAAGGTTAAGGTTTAAATAAGGAAGGAATCTAAGTAAAATATGTACGGAAACGTAACAGGAAAACACGTCACAAACGTCACCAACCTTACAAAACGTATGTTTCAGCAAATCATCCTTCAATTTATCAGAAAAATTCAAAGTACAATATTTGCTTCAGAGATGTAGTGGAGTAGAACTTACAAAACTAAATTTTTATTAATTCCACCACTGCTTGAAAACACCATCCTGCAAAACATGTTGAAGTTTAAAAGTCCCTCAGAAAAAAATGTTCCTCTTATTTGAAATAACAGACTTTTTATCCCGCGGGGCCGAGATGAAGGCGTCCGCGTGCCCTAAAAAAAACATACGTCCTAAATCCCAAATGAACTCTGAGCCTTTTTTCATTTGCATGGAAACACTTTGAAGGTAGTTGAGACTTAAACTCTCTGAATCCCCTGAATTATTTTTTGAAGGTGTTCCCGACTGAGCAGATATGAGGGCGGTGTGAGTGTGTGAGTGTGTGTGTGTGTGTGTGTGTGGACCTTGAGCCACACAGCTGTGGAATGTGGTCAGCTGGTGAGGGCTATTAGTGCATGAAGCTCACCAGTCGCACCTCTCTGTTAGTGTTCGTGGTTCATTTCACGGAAAGAGAGAATTTGCCATGTTTGTATTTTCTCACAACGATGGAGAAGCCAAGAATAGAAATTAAAGATTCTGCTGCACTTGTTGCATAAAATACACACACAGTAAATACATTTATTTGTTTATAAGTATATTTATTATTCCGTTTGATCTACCTGAGTCCTCACACCATAATACCTTAATATGCTCACATGACTTACTTTATATTGCTGGATTTGTTGTTAATTGTCATCAGCAGTGGAAAGTAACTAAGTACTGTTTTGTACTGTACTTAAGTACAGTATTTGTACTTCACTTGAGGTTTCTATGTTAATTTCTAGAGCATTTAATTAAAAGAAAATCAACTTGGAAGAGGTATTAACGTATTGCAAGTACATTTACTCAAGTACTGTACTTGAGTACACATTTCAGGTACTTGGATGAATACTTTCTTTCCACAAAAAGTGCACAAAACACTGTTCTGATTTAAATCAAGTGGTGGAAAGTAACTAAGGACATTGTACTTTATTTGAGAATTTCTGTTTTATGCTACTTCATCTATTATATCATAGATTTATTTTACTCAATTAGTCATTTTTTAATGCTGAATGGTTTATTTGCAAGACATTTATAAACATACATCTGGTAAACACAAGATTTAAAGTTGTGCTTTTGTGTGAATCTTTGTGGAGAAACAGTTTTACAGATGTGTCGAATAAATCAAGGAACCGGTTAGTGGACTCAGACTTTCTCTGGTCGAGGACAGCGGAGTGTAAAGTAGTAAAAACGAGCCTCATGTTTAACAGCTTCAATTTAAAGTGATAATCAGATTAATGCAACAATAGTTATTATCCAATAATCTAATATATATTAGCCTCAAATGAGCATTTCTGCACAATCAGTACTTTTACCTTTGATACTTCAAGTATACTTTGATGCTAATACATCAAATAAAGTACCAAACTTTAGAATGTAGGACTTTTGCTTGCGACAGAGTATTTCTATACTGTGGTATTGCTACTTTTACTTGAGTAAAATATATAAATACTTCTTCTCCCACTGCTGCCGGCAAAACCCAAATCTCCCTCAGGAAGATGATGAAGCTGCTTCTATTAAAAATGGAGATACATTCAGCTTCCTGTTTATTTCCTTCAGAATGAGTCCGTGACATTTAAATGCCAGTTCTCTTGGCCTCGCTGCGAAATGACAAAAGGTTTTCGAGGTGAGGACACAGTTAAGTAAGACTTGGGAGAAAAATCAGCAAAGGGTGAAGGAGGAATGTGACTCCATCTTCAAACGTCCCTCTGCTGCTGAAATTCGGGCCTTCATGCTACGCTGCCACCATGGTGTGAGAAAGTCTTTCGCAGGTCCAATGGTGTGTGTGTGTGTGTGTGTGTGTGTGTGTGTGTGAGAGTGAAATGTGTAATATGTTTGGTGTAGTCAGGTGCATGCTGTTCTCTGCTGGGTCTGTTTGCTAGTCTCCTCAGGACCTTGAAGAAAAACAGCTGAAGAACAGGACATCTTATTCCACAAACTCCGTCTCATAAACATTGTCTTTAGATATACAGTCTCTCTCTCTCTCTCTCGCTCTCTCTCTCTCTCTCTCTCTCTCTCTCTCTCTCTACACCTCAGTTTACTTTTCTGTCTTTGGACCACATTAAGCACATTAGTTGTCTCTACTTTCCCTGCGTTTACTCTACCGTTACTCATGCAGCCAGCTGTATAAAACATTTAGCTTGTAAAGCAGGCGACAGTAATCCGCCACCTGGGTGGCTAATCAAGCTTTTATCCCTTTGTTTTCCATACAATTACACCAGCTCAGTGACTGTTAAGCTATGCAATCATTACAGTGTTAGAGTTAATAAATCAGCAGGTGAGAGATTATCAACAACGTCCACGGTTTTCTTTCTAAGAGCAAATTATGCAGCTTCCTCTTAAATTCTCCCCAAAATGGGGATATTTTTCTCAAAGTTTGCCGGCAGATCATCACACACACTTTACACACACAGTGTTCCTATGTGTGTGTGTGTGTGTGTGTGTGCCAGGTGTGAAGGGGAATATCTGCATGTCAAAGTGTTCAGGATGCTCCGTGGGGAATATTTGCATGTAAGGGAAGAACAGGTGTTGTGTACTGATCTCATACATATCCCATATTCATAGTGTTTTGTAAATCTCGCCCTCCTGGGTCAAAGTGACAGCAGCAGCGCTCACCTGCTCTCCAAAGCTCTCCCCTGTTCACTAAACCGGTCTTTGAACAGCACAGGATGAAGCACAAATCCTTCATTGTTTTGTCCGGGGCTTATTTTAGACAATATTTCACACGCTTCCCGTTGATTTTGAGAAAGAAAAATATGAAGAAATAAAAAAAAGAAAAGAAAAGAAAAGAAAAACACAAACATTGAAACTGTTCAGCTTCAGTGGACACCTCTTCCTTTCTCCCTCTTCCTCCCTCCTCCTCCTCCCTCACCCTCTATAACACTGGTCACCACTAGGTGGCACCACCCCCACATTAATCAACATAGACTGGTGAGCTGTCACAGCCCGTCATCCCCTGTTCGTTTATCATGCTTTAATTATTTAATAATCTGCAGGTAGCTGTTTTTAACTGCAGATATATAGACTTTTATACAAGTATATATATATACATATATGTATATATATATATATATATATATATATATATATATATATATATATATATATACATATATATATACACACAATATATGCAGCATATTAATAAACTGTAATAACATTTAAAAAAAATATTAGATAATAATAAAAAGGTGTCACACATGAAATGTTAAACAGCTCCCTGAGCATCTTCTCTGATCTTCTCTTTGACGTTATGAATAAAAGCTGAGAGGAGGACACTGAGGTCATCATTAGTGTTTAATGTACTGCTCTAAACTGATCACTTCCTTCCCTCACTGATGTCTGTGTTTAGTGAAGGAGGGCCCCGGGTTTCCTTCCCGGCGCGTCTCAGACGGGTGGAGCTCCTGAATGATAGTGGTTTCCTGCTGGAGGCCCGGTTTTTGGAGTTATTTTTGCAAGCATTATTATTATGTGTGTAATATGTGTATTATGTATGTGTGTGTGTGTGTGTGTGTGTGTGTGTGTGTGTGTGTGTGTGTGTGTGTTTAAACAGGAAATACTCAAGTAGAGTACAAGTACCTTGAAAAGTACAGTACATTAAGTAGATTTGCTTCGTTACTTTCCACCATACAGAAAGTTTGCACACTGTAAGATATTTGTTATTTGTTAAAATTGGGCAACACTTTACGTTAGTCCCATAATTAGGATTTCTAAGCAGTAAACAAAGAAATAATAAATGGTTTATGACACATTATAATATAGTTGTAAGCAGCTTTTAGGACATTTTAAGTCATTATAAATCTACCGTATTTGCGATATAAAGACATGTTTTATATTGTTACAAATACATTTGATCATGTTGTCATTCATTAAATGTGTTTACAGCATCCTCTGCTTCTGGATGCCCACAGGAGGAGTTTAAACTATTAACAGATATATTATTACAAACATCTGCTTACAACTACATCATATAACTATTTGTTATAAATGCTAGCGGGACCTAAAGTCAAGAATTGGATCAAACAGACCTGCAGGTGTTTGTGCTGAACAGCGGCCAGGTGGACGTACATAACAAAGAGATATGCAGTGTTTACACACAGTCAATATTTTGAGGATTTCCACTTCTGTCCTCTTTTCCTGATAATGCGTCTAGTCCACCAGCTGCGTCCTCTCCTCCTCTCCTCTTCTCCTTCTCTCCTTCTCTCCTCCTCTACTTCCTGTCATTCAGACAAAAGAAAAGTTTATGTGGCTGAAACCGTCAGACAGGAAATCGTACATTAATCAAAGAATAATAATGCGCGTTGTGATTAACCAAACGCTTCTGATATGTTTCATTATCTACATTAATTCATACCTTGTATATTAAATCAGGAGGTTTAAAGGTCTGTGTTGTTTTCTCTGATACAATGAAACCAACCGCTCACGAACAATTATCTTTCTAAAGTCCTCAACAATGAGACCAGATGAGCAATTAGTGGAGAGCTGAAAAGGACACATCTCTATACTTCTCCAGACAAATCCCAAAAAATTGGTCTTTTTAAAAAACTTAGAGAATTATTGTCAGTAGGTTATAAAATTATATTATGTGGTAAAAAAAAAATGAAAAGGATACAATTGGTGTTTGTGTGTGTGTGTGTGTGTGTGTGTGTGTGAGAGAGACAGGCAGCACCTGGCAGTGGTTTTTGCATGAGGGTATGCAGCTGGTGTTACTGGCTCAGAGCCTCAGCTGCCACTCTGACTCTGGTTGTGTGTGTGTGTGTGTGTGTGTGTGTGTGTGTGTGTGTGTGTGTGTGTGTGTGTGTGTGTGTGGTTGTGTGTGTCTGTACTTGCACAGCTGTCTTTGTGAGGACCAACTTGAGTTTTAGACCTTCAGGACATTTTTGTGAAGTGAGGATATTCATGAACCAGGAAGTATAAAGATGCAAAAAGTCACACAGGGACGGCAGGAGGGGAGCTGGATGGGTCCAACAAAAGCTGGTCTTTCCTCCAGGAGACCATAGTTCGTGCCGCTTGTGAAGCGAGAAGTCATTGTTGATTTAGTTCTCACTTAACCTCCATACTTAAGTTACTAGTACTAGTAACTTAGTTAGGTTTAGGAAAATATTGTGATTTGGGTTAAAATAACTAAGTTGTTTTGTTGCCTAAATCTAACTAAGTTGTTTACTGTGAAGACGGAAGTTTATTTTGAAAAGACTGTATGCACGTGTTACTGGATATTTGTACAAAAAGCCACAAAAAACCCGAGAAATAACTTTTGGTCCGACATCATACGTATGAGGATGTGTAGAGACAGACCAGTAAAGGCCTGTTTGAGCGTTCAGACTTGGTTTTAAGATTCAGGTTAGGATTGATCCTTCGCTAAGCCCCGCCCCTCCGCTGCTACTCCGTCAAGCTGTCAGAGCTGTATGTTATGGAGCCCACACTGTCACTAACTGCACTCCGTCAATAAATATCATCTGACATTTGGAAAAAAGGAGCAGAAAGACGGGTGTACAACATGTCTTTAGAGGATTTATCCAGGATGTAAGTAACAAACAAAACAAAACAAACTATCATTTTCCGAACATGAAACAAGGACTCAATTGTAAGTTTTTATCTTGATGAAAACATTGAGACAGGTAAACAAAGAGAGAGATTCTGGTTGTGACACAAACACTTTGATGTGCATCTCTCCATCACTAATGAGGGACCTCAGATGGAGTGTGTGTGTGCTTGGCCGCCTGCTGTGCATCAGTCTTCAACTCCGTACTTGAAATGGTCTTAAGTGGAAATCAGTGAGCGACAGAGGTCAGAGGTCAGCAGTATTAAGGTGTGTGTGTGTGTGCGTGTGTGTGTGTGTGTGTGTGTGTGTGTGTGTGCGGGGGTCACTGGCTCGACCTCGCTGTTTGTTGCCACGTGGTCCGGATGTCGTTACAGGTTCATTAGATAACGTGAGAACAGTCATTGAAAAAAAAACATGGCAGCACTCAGAGTTTTAAGTTACAAAGACCACAAATGAAGGAAGTAAATCCTTATACAGTCTGACGGTACCACGTGATGAATGATCACTGATGGAATTACTCACAGGTAATTAAGCTCAGCGAAGAGAACAGGGGGCAAATGGCCGAGAGCAGTAGAAGTATTTAGTGATTGTAGTGCAACGTTTCATCCTCACTGGCTCCAGCTAGTATTCAGATCCTGTACTTAAGTAAAAGTACTTCTGTATACCTCACCGTGAAAATACTCCACTACAAGTAAAAGTGCATTCACAACCTGAATTATGTAAAAGTATGTATTAGCAGCAAAATGTATAGAATAGATAGAATTAGTGTATATCTGATGTTTCTATGTTAATATTACTGCTGCAATGATGTGTATGTTGCATTTAAACTCCTTTATTTTATGTTTTATGTTACAATATTTGTTTTTTTCATTGTCTTTGTCATTGACAAATAAACTAACAAATTAAAAAATAAATGTTTTGACAGCTTTAGTTACCAGTTAATTCAGACATTTTGCACACAAAATATGTGAAGGCTTTATAAAAAATGAAGCTTTGTTGTAAATTGACAGTTTGTACAAGTAAAGCTGAAAAGACGAGTCAGTTAATCACTTAGTCAGGTTGACAGAAAATTCATTTTCTATACAAGGATGCCAAACATTTACAGCTTCAAATGTGAAGATTTAAATTAATACAATTTATTTTAACAATGCACTGTTTGGTGTACAACATTTTGGGGGGAAATGAGCTCCATCTCAACTAACTACAACTGAAAAATCCTGTTTTATAATAATAATCTAATTATATTATATATAATAGTAGAAAAGTCACAGGGGACAATTAACAGTATTGAGTAGGCTTTGACTTTAGGGTTTTCCTTATTATACTTACATACTTTTACTTTATCAGTGCATGCCTTTGTAAAAAAATGTAAGTATTTTTACAGTGTGGTATTTGTACTTTTACCTAAATAAAATATCTGATTACTTCCTCCAAAAACTTTATTTCAGAGTCTTATTTTGAAATTTCGACAGGAAGTTGTAGTATCCTTGCCGTTTTGATTGTGGAGGAAACTTTTTTTTTTACCCAGAGAGAGAGAGCGGCTCCTCCTCTCCACGCTTCAGACCTGCAGCCACATCAGCGGGACACTTTTCTCAAGAAACAACCGCTTCATGACAATTATCTCCTCTCCGTTAACCGGCAGGTTTCCGCTGATTACCTGTGCACAGTCGGAGGGATTAAAGGGGAACACCGAGGAAGTGATGGAGCGCTCCCGTTAAAAAAGTTGAAGCGCTCAAAGAAGATAATCTGTCTGCTCCTCCTCCTCCTCCGGTGCTCGGCGAGCGGCTGTCTGTTCCTTCCCACCCCGCCTCGGAGGCCATGGGCTGCGGCTTGCGGAAACTGGAAGACCCGGAGGACAGCAGCCCCGGGAAGATCTACTCCACCCTGAAGAGACCTCAGGTGGAGACCAAAACGGAGACGGTGTACGAGTACGTGCTGCTCGACTTCAGCCTGGAAGGTAGGACGAGATAATCAATGATGCCACTCCACGGTTTGACCAAAATCAATCAATATATTTATATTTACAGTCCTTTTATATTTATACCAAGACAGAACTAACTGCTCACCAGAAAGAAGTGTTTTATCTGGAACAATTCAATTAATCAATTAAAACGATTAGTCAATGGACAAAACAAATTAACAGATTAATCAATTAAGTCGTTAATTGAATGAAGAATCTCCTCGTTCAAGCTGCTTTTCAGTTTAAAATATATATCATATTTAAGTGTTGGACTGTTGCTCAAACAAAACAAGTGCTTTAATGATTAGTTGATTAATCGAACGAAAGAAAGTCGGAAACTAATTTCTGTCGCATTTCAAACCAAAAAAAAATCTAAAACCCAAAACATTTGATGCTCTTTTCTATTTATTTTTGTGTCATTATAAGTTCAACATCTTTGGCTTTTGGGGCTTTTGTTTGGAGAAAACAAGATTTAAATATGTAAACTTGGACTTTAGGACATTGTGATTGTATTGTCGAATGTTTTCTGACATTTTATAGAACAATTGCAACAATTTGGCCTTAAAAAAAGGTCTCTTGAATAGCAGACACCCTGTTTATGGTCGTTTTATTGGAACATGGTGTTATTTTATTAAAACACCTGATAATGTTTCATTTAAATGTGACACTATGGAACTTTAAAGCCCTTTCAAACTACAATGTGTTGCAGCGTTACAGCATCAAACTGTGAACTCCTAGCAACAGGGCTGTTGGTTCAGGGTATCTAGAAATAGGTCACTGCCTTCTTTCCTTGGCGCGCGCACACACACACACACACCCCTTTCCATGTGCTGGGCATGCAGCAGAATGCAGAGAGAACCCCCACCTGCTGTGATATGGAATCTAATATGAGCATGTGTGATAATCTCAGATGGCTGAGAGAGAGTTTTTTTCCGGGGATAATCCCTTCGTCTGGTCCTCAGACTGGCTGTTGTGACTGTGACCTATTTGGAAGGAAATGGTGATTAAGTCCTGAGTGGGAGCCGAGCATGTAAACAGCAGGCCGGCACGTTAATGAATCATGGAGGAAAGTGCTGCTTTCCAAAATTCGGGGGTGGGGTCAGGGTCAGGGTCAGGAAAGTAAAGTACGTAATGACTTCGGGATTGTCCGACCACTCAGCGTGGATCCGGTCCTGTCTGCATTAGACCCCATCATGTAGACTAACCATGTTTTTTTTCTTTATTAACGGATAATCTTTTGCCTGAAAAGTGTCCGAAAATAGCGAAAAAAATGTCCATCACGACTGTCCAGAGCCCAAGACCGGACAAACCGCACATGGAGATCGTTTCCACCAGTTTGCACAGATTGTTGTGAAGGAGCGTGAGACTTACGGCTGAGTGAACACACCAGACGACACGCCTTAACGTCTCGATTTTACCATCTTTTGTGTCTAAGTGACTAATGGGGACAACAATTTGTTTTAAATCGGTACAATGTTGATCGAGAGCGCTGCAGTTACTAAACGGGCTGCAATGTTATCACTCGGGGCAACTCCTCACCATCAATGTGCGTACACTAAAAGTGTTCGTTTCTGCCACTGACGGGCTCAGATTGTTACTATAAATGTCTGACAGCATTATGGAAACATTTTGCACAACCGTGTTGTGTTTCTGTAGCCATACATCCTCCTAGTTAGAGTTTATTAACATCATATCAATACTTTATCTGATAAAGGTAAAACTTTTGAACCAGGTCCTTTGGTCTTTCTATCATTTAGCTTGTGATATATGAGGTTTGTCAGATTAAGTAGCTTCACCTGGTATTTAAATTTACATATTTAATCATCATTTAAGTGAATATAAGCATCAGATAGGACTCTGCATCGACCGATACAAAATATTAAAGAAGATTAAAGATCAGGATCCTCTGCTAACTAACTTTTGACTTGTGAACGCTCCTCTGCTGCATGTGTTTGGTTTTTTTTTGGGATTCGTTGTGGCTGTCATCAGCAGGGAGTCATGGGTTCTGCTGTCAGCCAGACTTCTAAATAGTGTGTGTGTGTGTGTGTGTGTGTGTGTGTGTGTGTGTGTGTGTGTGTGTGTGTGTGTGTGTGTGTGTGTGTGTGTGTGTGAGAGAGAGAGTCATAGGTTGTGTCTAGATCCACCTTAAACAAACCGTAGTCGGAACACATCTCGTACGCTTCTCTTTGTGATCAGACGTTGCTAAAGAAATGTTCGTTAGCGCTCAGTCGTACAGCCAGACGGCGAGATTGCTGTCGCTGTCGCAGGGCTCAACGGTAAGGCTTCCCTTTTGAGAAATTGGCAACCAAATCTTGGCCTTTTTAACATAAAAAATATGGACAGCAAATCGTGCACCTCATAATAAATATATTTCTGATATTTGTTGCATCAGTGATATTTAGATATTGCTTTTACGCTGCACGTGAGTAACTATAATGCAAGTGCGTTTAATCGCGTGAGCGCAGGGCTTCTGTTTTAGAGACAATGGCGGCGCAAATAGTTGTCTGACAAAGTTCAAATAATCTGCAAATAGATTCAACTGACAAAGAACCAGATGAACAATAAAGGAAGTTTGTGAAGTCTGTGGATGAACACTTATAAGAAAGCCTTTTTAATCTTTTATGTCACATTATTAAGCTGACGTATAACTGCATAGTATCTGAATTACTCAAAATATAAGGTGACTAAAATGCCATATTTTTAGTTTCGGCAACCAAAAGTTGATGCCTGGTTGCCGACCTTGCAACCAATTGTAGAAGTCGGTGTTGTTGGGATATAAACTTTAAATCTGATGTTTGCAGCTGTATCCTGAGCCAGACATGCTCTACTATCAAACCAACGCTCACTGTCCTAGATTTGGTCACTTAACATCCTTGAATACTTCCACACGAGTCATTGAAGAATTATATATTATCAGAATACAGCTGCATGTGATTTCCTCACCCGAGTTGCTTTTCTATGAAGGAAAGAAAAGAGAAATCCGACACACAAAATGCATATTTACCACGAGAGTTAATGTTAAAAAATGCAGCTTTACTGTTCAGCCCGTCTTCCTGGCTCTGCTGGATCGTCACTGACTAAATGTGTGAGTATGCCTTTCGCTCAAAGTGTGAAGCCTCCGTAATTGGCACAGCTAAAGATAAACCGGAGTGATTCCAATCTCTAGTAGTCATGTGCAGTCTGGTGATGGCTGGCATCCTCTCTGGCATTTCTTTCCGTCTTTTACGAGACTCTAAACCGTTTACTTGAGTATGAACGGTGTTAATCACCTCGTTTTATGATTTGGTTAAAGAACAAAATTGGCCGCCGTTATCTACGTCTTGGTTTAGTCAGTGAAGTTGCTGCAATGCCAAATGAAAGATGAAAAGCCGACAAAATGTGGCACAAAATGTGTGTTTTCCTGGCGTTGAACCAGACTGTGTTCTCGCTCCAAATGAGGCTCTGCAGGGTTTCGTTTCCCTCCGTAACAGAGGACGTGTGATGTGATCCCAGATTCACTCGAGGTGTAAAAACACTGAAGAGCACCAAACAAGGGAGGGGCTCAAGTTTCATGAAAATGATTTGATCAACACTGTTAACTACGCAATATTCATATGATATCAGATTTGTTTTAAAAGCTGTTAATTGTGTATCAAGTCATTCAGTCAGACATTGATTTTTTTCCATGGAATCGGTTGCAGCCGTCTAATTTTTAAATCTGGACAAATTTCAGCCGGATCGGTTGTGAGTTTGAGGTCACGACGCCGGATTAATCGCATAAGCTATAAATGATCTGGTTGGATTGTTGGCTGGTTTTCTTGCAGTTTGAGCAGTTCTACGGTCCAATTTCCAATGTGGCTGCTGTTAAAAGGTCCGTTATAAACACAGGCTGTATATGCAAAGTGGACGTAGTCGGCGTGATGTCACTCATTGGTTGGTGAACTGCGGTTTTGAAGCCTCGAGTTCAGCTATTTGGCCGTCGCCATCTTGGATTTTTGTGTTGAAGAAGACTTGAAACTAGAGATTGAGACCATAAACTCATGTTTACAATGTTTACTGACGTAATAAATCAAGAGAGAAGTAGAGTCATTTTCTCATAGACTTCTATACAACCAGAGGAGTCGCCCCCTGATGGACATTAGAGAGAATGCAGCTTTGAGACATGAAGCTTTGGCTTCACTTTTCAGACCTGGGGGTTGCCACATGGTGATAAAAGTCACAAAAAAGATGTTGAAGACGCAGCCATGTTGTTTGAAGAAACCTTATTGGAATTGTCAATGGACAAAACAATTAGAAGTTCTGTGTTTGCTTTCAGTTTGAGCATGGAAGTCACAGGTTTTGTCCCTGCAGCATGTTGTGTGATTTAACACTTAACTTTCCAGCTTTAATGGGCTGAATGAGTTTCTTAAAGGAGGAGGTGTAAAGACTCCGTAGTCCTGTATGTTTTGGAAAAGAATAACGCATCTGTCAGCACATGCCATTCCTGACAAGCAGCTGGCCGACGGATGCCTCGCATATCTTCTTGTTGCATTTTTTTTTTTGTTCAGGAAGTTCCAGCACCTGCACCACCCTTTTTCCCCCGAAAAAAAAAAAGTGCAGATTTATTTAAAGAAGCGGACTCAAAATCAAAAACGCTGATCACTGCAGTTTATAGTAAACCATGATGCCGTTATAAGAATCACTCCCCACACCACTCCACCCTGCTCTGGCCTCGCTTCTCCTTGAAACGATGAAGCGTTTCTGGGACACACACAGAGCTACTGTCACAACTCTTGCTTTAATCTGCCTCATCTCTCTCACACACACACACGCACACGCACACACACACACACACACACCATCCCCGTTGTATGTCCCGTTGCTGTGCCCGGTAGCAGGGCAGCTTGGCCTGGTTTTTTACTCCCGACCGAGAGGAGACTGGACGTGGAGGCCTGGAGCCAGAGGCAGCACATCAAAGCACCTAATGGCTAATACTTCCCTGAGCTCATTACTGATGGCTGCATTGCACATGTGAGAGC